ACAAAGTTTCCTATGTTATGAATTATACATTCAAACAATAACACATTAATTCAATTATTCAAAGATGACAAATGTTTATGTGCTTTAGTAGTGACTAAGGAACAGATTTGCTACTTCACGAGAACTCCTACATTTTTATCAATGAAGTTTTATGCTATCCTCTTGGTCCGGGAAAGAAACCAAACTCCACCAAGACAGGCAGTAAAACGGACCCGAACGTAAATCGCAGCCCTTTCATAAGAGCGTTTATTCCCGCATATAGCCCGGGCTATTTTATCAGTTTGACAATTGCCGGAGTTGTTGTTATAAATCATCATAAGTAATTCCTGAAAGGGTGCGAGGCTGCTGGGGGGCGGGCGGAGACTGTAAATCTTTCTGTTTTATTGCTCTATGAACATATGCTCCGATTGAAGAAGTCTTAGATCCTTTACTGGAGACAAATTCACGCAAAGCTGGAGTCCCACCAGCCAAAGGATTAACATTTCCTTAATACTTTTTCAGTTCCCTTTACGATGTCTTAATTCTGGTGATGGTGGCGAAGGTGCTCCTTTCTTTCAGCCGTCCTCCATTTTCACATTAAATTTCGGTTGGGTTTTTTTGGTTTTGGGGTTTGTGGTTTTTTTTTTTTTTTTTTTTTTTTTTTAAGCCCTAGGCTCTGAAAAGCCACCCGAGGGCTGTGGGGCTTTTTTGCCAGGTGGTTCCTAACTGCCCTCCAAAAAGGCATTTTCTTCTGAATCCTCTTCGTGCTCTTTGCTCGACCGGTGCCTAGATTCTCCCTCGCACTTTTGTGTAGGAAACGAAAGACCTCTCCGTCATCCAAAATGTCTAAACAGCGGCCAGAATTATGTTCGGCTTTGTGTGTATGTACACAAGTATGCAGAACACGCTGTGCGTGTAGGGGTTGCTGTATGTACACACAGACACGCGAGCGCGGGGGGCTCTGCAAAACTACCCAGACACCGAAATATATGGCTGACGGAAAAGGATATAAAGAACCATTACCTCTTACTTGAGGCGAGATTTAAGTGCATCATTTGGAAGAAATATAGGATTATAAATCCGAAGCCGTACACAATAATTTACATTGAACTTATGTTTCCATCACTGGACTCCAATCTTTTTATAACTGGTTTGCAAAGTCAGGAAAAGCAATGTAATTTAGATAAATGTTACAATGCACTTACGTTTAGTATTGTAAGGTAATACGTTACTGTCACATCCCCATGCTTTGGATGGTAATGAAATCATAGCAGATGTTAGATTAGGGGTGGTGTATTTATAGCTACAGATATGTTAGAAAAATCAAACAGGGGAGCTAATATACATTTTTTTTTCTGCCGAACTGGAATTGTTGGGGAGCTTTGTAGGCACACATGACGGATACACATCGGGTTTGCTCTATGTCTCTTCATACACACGGAGAGGGGAGGCAGGCTCAGGGCAGACACACACACGCACAAATGTCATGAGGTTGTTTTTTTTTTTTTTTCCCCAACGCTTCTTTAGCCTCCAGACAGGGGTAGTCCCCGCTGCCCCGCATCTTCTCGGCAAGGAGAAGGAGAAAGCAAAAATTCGCGCACGCCAGTGAGCCCCAGCGCCTTTCCGCGAAAGCAGCGCGGCTGCGGAGCTGCCCCCGGCGCAGGCTCTCAGCTGCGGCCGGTCCCAAATACCTCCTCTTTCTCCGCCGGCAATTTCTGCGCCCTGGGATCATCCCGCGGAATTCACCTTTTCCCCGGCTCCCCCAGCCCCGCGGGGCGCGTAAGTGCGGGGGCCGCCACCGCCGGCCGCCGCGGAGCTCCGCGGGAGAAGCGCGGCGTCGGCAGCGCGGCCCGGTGCGCGGAGCGCGGAGGGGGAGCTCGGGAGCAGCCCGGTGCGCGGGGTCCGGCGCGGCAGCCCCGCTGCGCGGGGGCGCGGAGAGCGCGCCAGCCTCGGCCCCGGCGAGCTGCTCCCGCGGTCACGTGGGCGAATATGCCTGTATTTTAAGGCAGTGCCTATATTTGTGATTATAAAGGGGTTTTTCCTGCTCGCCCCCAAAATTCATCAATGGCCGCACGATTTAAAAACAAAACAAAACCCGAGCCGGCCAATTGCCGCCTTTGGTTCCTGGCGGCTGATGGCTAAAGGGTTGTGTGTTGATTTTTTTCTTCTTCTTTTTTTTTTTTTTTTTTTTTTTTTAAAGCCCAACAAATTCCGATTTCCACTCGCTCTCTTTTATTGGTAGTTGAGCCTGAGCCTGTTTTCGTTCTATCGGGAATTCTGGTGTGTGGAAATATCTGTAAAACCGCAAGATCAGGTTTAGGAGAGTATTGTCTGCAGACAAAGGGTGAAGGATATGTTCTATGAGCTGCAAGCGCAAATCCTGAAAAGTGAGGAGCCCAGGTTTATGATAAATTGATACACAGGTAAGCAACTGCATGACCAAATGGGACCTTTAACCACAGGGGCTGCATTATCGCCTTTACTCAGAGACTGTCTGGAATTTGTTTGCAATCTCTGCCCATAACGGCTGGGAATGCATGGAGTGGTCTCCACCTCCTTGAACGTTTTAAGCTGTATCTTCTTTTTATTATGCTCTTTAAATAACAAGTGGACTCCTTCCCAAAGTCTAGGGGGAGGGGAGGACTTTTATCCCTATCCCGTTCCCAATTTTCGGTGGTTTCAGGAAGGGAATTGCAAAGAAGCAAAGAAACGAGGGAGAGACAACTTTGCTAGATGCTCCCTTTGCCAAAGTAAGATTGAGCATCACGCTAATGCGTTGCCGTGGATAGCCGGGCAGGGGGTAGCCGTGTTGATTTGTAAAGGGCGATTTAAAATAGGCTCGTCTGTACTGTAGCTCCTACATAGGGTCTCCTAAATATTCCTGCCAAGTGCCTTCCCGTACCTTTTCCCCTCGCCGTGCATTCGGGTTCCTCAGTGGCTGTTGTTTTCCTCCCCCGGTTGTTTCGGTGTTGATATTACCGGTGTGCTCATGCCTTCGAGTTACACACGCTGTTTGAAGCACGGCTTGATATTTATCTACCGAGAAGTTTCTCGCCCTGCATTTGTGCGGTTTGATCAATAAGGCGGTGGGAAGGTGCCTGGGAGGTATCGGTGCCTCTCTGGGCGGACATGGGGGGCTGTACGCGGTCACACAGCCTCCCCCGCACATCTGCAGCTCCGTTCCCTCTTGGGCTGTTGCAACCAGCCCGACTCTCCCAGGAGCGCCTCTTCCCGCTGTCTTGTGGCCTGCCTGGAGCCCGGGGGAACTCTCGGTTGTGTTTATTAGAGAGCCCCCGCGTAAAGCGCGGCTTTGTGCTGGCGAGCAGCAGCGGGTGTCAGGCTGCGCCGGACCCTGCCCGCCCCGAGTCACCCGGACGAGTCCTCCGTGGGGGCCAAGGCACCCCGCGGGACAGGGGGGCGAGGGGAAGGGGAGAAAGTTGGGGTATTGTTGGTTGGTTGTTTTTTTTTTTCTTTTTTTTTTTTTTTTCTTCCCCTTTCTGTTGCGTGTTGCTCTGCTCGATCAGAAGTTAAAGGCAGTGAACATTTTTCTTAGCTGTATGCCTCCAAGCTGCTGGCCTGCCAAGTTAGTCAGCTGAATCCAATTACTGCAAGCAGCATTTCATTTGGCTCGATGGAAGCACTCACTTATAACTTCACCTAAAATTTCAATAATACCTATATCGGGCCCACGCCTGAATAATTCTAAAGATTTCCCTGGGTTTAGCTCTGGCAACTTCTTCTCCGAGGTGGGCTCTGCAGGAGCAGCGCTGGGAGCAGAGCGCAGCCCCGGCGTGCCCGGACTCCCAGCTCAGCACAACAAACTTTGGGGCTATTCTTGTTGCCGTGGAAATCTCGGTATTTGGCCAAGATCCCGCCAAGTAAAGCAGGTCTATAGCAAAAAAGGCTATCGCTTGTGAGGCTGTGGAGCCTCTTCGGAAAGGGATGAGGAGTCGATAATTAATTAGGCACAAAATGAAAACTTACCGTTTAATCATCAGCGGCTAACAATGACTCGGTTTGCAATATTATGATCTCTCCGCTCAGGGGCTAAGGTGCAACGCAACTTACGCTGCCTTCATGCACCCTTTAAAGTGCTATTTCTAATGAACTCTCTTTAAAAAAAAATAAATAAAGCACTTAAAGTTGACGTACGCCCACGTGAATATATTATATAAGACGTTACCGGGACAGGCCCGGGCCAAGAACCTGAGCGAGCATCATGTGTAATCATGAAGCTCCACTTCCCTAACTCCAGTTTGCCAGCATAAATTAAGGTGATTTGGAGGGGGAATGTTGCATCCTACTGGGTTTGGGTAGGGAGAGAGAAGACTTGGTGGAAAGTTGTAAGGTCTGTTGTGTTGTGAGCTATTGGAGGCGCTTCCGTTGGTTGTTCATTAAGTGGTGAGTTATTGCTATACGAGCCAAAGGTCATTTCAAAGGCTTATGGTGGCTAGATATCGTCTTTATAATGACCTGGGCTTCTTTGTGGGGGATTTTCTGGCACTCTTAAGTTCTTAAAGTCCTGAGTCGACACGTTACACAGCAAATGCAAAATGTTCATTTCGAGCCGCAAATATTTGCGGCGTATTTTCAGCGCTGGGGTTTCTTCGCTTATCTTTCTCTCTGTTTTACCCGGGGGCTGGGGAGAGGAGGGGAGGGAGCCCCGCGCTAGCTCCGCTCCCGGGGTGCGCTCCGTGGGCCGGGAGTGCGGGCGGCGGCTGCCACCGACGGGGGTGACCGCATCTCCCCGGCAATGCCGCTCCGGTCCCCCCGTGCGCTGCCTCTCCGCGCCTCGGCCCGGGTGGCCCGGGG